CACTGCCGGCCGCCCCCCGCCCCGGGAGCTCACCTGGGAGCCGAGGGAGGCAGCGGCCCCCCTCCGTGGGATCCTTGCTGCTAATTTGGGCTGTGCAGCTACCACCGAAGCACAAAAATGAGGCCAAACGGAGATGTTCGAGCCCACGAAGACTTGGGGGAAGGGGGGGGAGAGCTCGGCACCAGGCGCTATCTGGAAAGAAGACGATTATTTTAAGTTACCTCAACGATTGTGTTTCGGAAAGGGGCTGTAATCCCAGCCGGCGCTGTAAAAGGCGAATCAAACACCTTACAGCTTTGGCTGCAGCCCCAGCGGCATCTCGGATCATTCCGGCCTTTCGTGTTCCACTAAACCGGTTGTACTTCGGGACAATAAAGCTTTAAGACCTAACATAAAGGCGATTATTAGTCATTAATATCACGAGTCGTTTAGGTATTATGCTCAAAATGGTCTCTAATGATTTGTGATCAATCAAGCTGATGGTCTTGTTAGAAATTAAGTTCCCTTTTCAGCTAGAAAACCAAAAGGGGAAAACAGGATACTTTTAGGGGAAGATTTCTTTAACCTGAAAATTGTATCTGTCAAAAATCCACAAAGAAAAAAACAAAAAAAACCCCACCCCCAACAATTAAAATAGTGGATCTGCCAAAACGGAAGGAGATTAAGTGATGATTTTATGGATTCTTAAAATTATAATTGAAAAGACCCCATCTAATTGGGGTTTAAAACACCAATTAACTGGTATTTCTGATGACACTCTGCTGAAGCCACTAAAATGGGAGGAAAGGGCATCAGACATAAAAACTGGCATTTGACTTCACCAGTTCTGGAGGCCTCAGCACACCTTTCCCCTTCCACCCACGCTATCAGCCATTCCTTTGAGCAGATCCAAACCCTCTCATCCTCCCTGTCTGCGATACAGAGGTAGCCCTGAACAAGATCTGCAAAGCAATTCACAAACCGTTTACTGAATTTTGAAGAGTGACTTGTGAATTGCTCAGGAGTTGGCAAAAATTAAAACCAGAATTTCACCTGGCCGGATACTTTCCAGCAGCCAGGCGCTGAAATTTGGTCCTTCCACTTGGGAAAACAAGCCTCTTCTTGAAATTACAAGAGTCATAATAATAATTTAAAAAAAAAAAATCATTAAATAAAAGGAAAAGCTTCATTTTGTTTAGGGAATGAGTGCAGCGGTACCTGTCTGGTGGGCTTCAGACTACTCAAAAGCCAGCCAGAATATTTGTACATTTTTCAACTGTTTGTTTTTTTTTTTCCATGCCCGATCCACCAAATTTCAGGGCCACATTCTGCCCTCCTTTACACCAGATTTGTAACATGGCAGGATCTGGCCTTGCGTAATTGCGCTGTGGTACATCCAGCCAAGCAGTGCCTGCCTTCCAGAGCTCAAAGTCCGCAGCAGGTTTACAGTCCCTGTGCCTGGGTGTGTGCACGCTATCACCGGCACCATAGGCATAACCACAAACATTTGCTAAATAAGCAGCTGGGCTCCAATCCGATATCCACGGCCCCGATCTTGCCATGTTATACTCAGCAGTAAAAGGCCTTAGCCTGTATTCTGAGTTTTGAACGCTTCTGACTCTGTTAGGTTGCTCCAATTTTACACTAGCATAAGAGAAAACATAACGCCCCTTCTGTTTCCTACTGTAACTCCCCTGGGCCTTTCTTGGCAGGAGTTTATAGTCATGCTGTAACTCGGATTGTTCCTCTGAACACAACTAGTACAACCTGCGTCCACACTCAGAAGCACTCTCAACCGAGCATAGGTCATGATACAAATCAATACAAGTAGAGCTCCTTCCTACGCTTTGCGTACAGCAGAGGCTCCATCGTGGCGGGACGAGATTAGGCTATGCAAGGCAAATAATCCTACCACCAACAGCTTCTCACATTGCCTCCCGCCTGATTTAACGAGACCTTTCTGGCCAAGAAACTCTGCGTTGCAGCTCCAGAGCAACCTGACCAGAAGGTGTCTGCAAGGCCCGAACGCAGTTTGCCCAAACATGTTGGTAAGCACAGAGAAACAGCCTGTGACTGAGCCACAAAACACTGCACAAGGAAGTGTGCTGGCACAGGCTTCCAGAGCCTGAAGGAGCGGGGGGAAAAGTCTGCATGTCTGCAAGGAGGAGCCACCCAAAATCCCATTTTGAAACGCTGCACACAAGAGCTTCCCAAGGAGCAGTAGCGCGGATGTAATTGTGCAGTCATAGCCTTGACGCAGGCCCTCAAACTGCTCACACATGAAGACGACACGCTAAAAGAGAAGGAACTGAACTGCATTTTTCTACAGTGGTACTGACCTGACGTGGGCCACAGGCATAGTCTAAGCGCAGCCTTGTCTTTGAGCAAGGATGGTCAAAGCTTGCCTGACTGAGGCCAGGTCTCCCGTAGATCATTCAAAAACCCTCCTGTGTTAAAAGATAAATAAATGAACAAACAGAAATCAAAGATTGGAAAGATTGGGAGGGGGGAAAACAGACACCGGACTTCATAGGGCAATTCATTAGAAATACTACAGACTGCCAGGTAATCTCTGCCTATCAACACATGCGCTAATTAGGAAGGAACAGCAATGTTTGGTGTGCTGGAACAGCAGCATCCCTCATGTTTTTCAAAAAAAAAAAAAAAAAAAGGCAGTGAACTGCTTCCTATGTTTCTAATTGCATCCTTGGCCTTTTTCTTTCTAATTGCAGTACACATTAATACTGTGAGATTTCACCAGGTAATTGTAAGAACAAAACATCTTCATTTTCTCCCTGGATGTTTTTGCTTCAGTGCATGCAGGAGCTACAGGCAAATACCTAATACTACCCCCAGAGCAGAAAACTTTTTGCAAATAAAGACCCTGTCAGCACCCATAACTTGGGAAAAGCTAAACAAAGGGCCTGCCTACGGCCAAGGATACTCATTCCACTAAAGCAGCGCTCTCCACCGAGCAAGGCAGGTCTCATGGGAAAGAAGCAAGCACACTACAAGCAAAGGTGTGATGAAACACCGCTAAGACCTCATGCTGTCTCCGTTCATGCCAGCTCAGGGGTCAATACTGACCTTTCGGAGCGGGGCCCTTCTCATGCAAGGCTCAGCCACAAATAAAAGCACGCCCCTCAAAAAAACTGGGGTGCTGCATTACTGCAGTTTGCACCTCTACATCAGCAGGGAGGGAGCTGCACCTGTGAGCTGGGCTGCTTTCCTTGAAATTTCAATTGCTTTTTTCCTTTTTTGCTGGTGCAACTCTTCCACTGTTAACAAGGCTGCCCCACACGTCCCAAGGCATGGAAGAATCAGTTAAAACTCAAGGAAGGAATGCTCCCCCCCTCCTCACTCCAATTTTAGCTCTCTCTTTCCTTCATTTTCTGCTTTAGTTCATGTTTTTCTCCTTTAATGTTTTTGTGGCAGTAGGAGAAACACCGTTCCCTAGAATGCATAATATGCTTAATTATCATTCTCCGTTAGTTCTCTAGGAAAAAAAAAACTACAGGAGAAATCAGTTTAATTAATGAGTATGACCAAATGCAGCCTTAGTTCTAATGCAGTATCATATATTATATGTCCAGTTGGGCAGTTGATCTTACTTGGGTAAAATGAACAGAGATGCAAAAAACCATGGAGCTCATGAATCAATATTCCGAGTGCAACTAACCCCTTTTGTATAGTTATTCTAAGCCTTCCTACAGATTTCGATGCCAGCGTCTGTTCCCAAATACTGCTTTTGGCTTCAGTAATGCAGGATCGGGCCCATACAGTCTAGTAATAGAAAGCTGTTGCTTGGCAGTACCAAGGGTTGTGCCACATGGTAAATTCATTAAGTAACTAAGAAAAAAAACTCTTAACTCCAAGATAGCACTCAAATAGTCATACCCAATAAAAATCGCCAGTGCGTGTCAAGGACAAGGGTGGCAAGGTTTCGTCTGAAAGTAAGACTTGTGATTTAGATGCTTTTCAAAAGGGCTACTCTTCACATACTAAATTATTAAGGAAATATTATGGAACAGGATTATCAGGAAAGAAAAAAAACGCAGTGTGCATTAGCTGGCTTAGTCAGAGGTTTTGCTGCATTCCTCATGCACGGAGATGACTCCCTCCCTCTGTAATTCCCTATGCACTCCCAGTCCTCTGGAGACTGCTGGTGTGCATCATCCTCGCTCCAGCTGAAACACTCTGTCCTCTGGCAGAGGTTTGGGCTGCCTACCATTGCTGTATATCTTCTCACATCTTTTTGCCGTTTCATAAACATCCGTGTTCTTCCCCAAATCCCATTCAGGCTGTATTACCTGCACAATGTGTTTCATTTTTGACCCAGGCCAGACTGTTCACACCGATGCCGTCTGTATGGCACACAGGCTCCTAAAAGAAGTCTTCCCTTTCCACTCTTGCTTCTCGAGACACAGTGGATTGTACTTTGCATTGAGCTGAGTTTTAAACAATTTTAGGCTGCTTTTCTTTCCCTTTCAGTGCTCACTCGGCAGTCCCTATCAAAAGCACAAGTCATTCTTTTCTGGAACACTTGGTTACTTTTTTGAAGAGAGGCTACGCTGATGTCCTGATATTCATCTCATACTGGGGCCAGTGGATTAAGAGGGAAAAAAAAATCTGCAGATAAAACCAAATGCTCTGCTTTACAGCCGAGGAGGGAATACTTTTAATAAAGAAAAAACACAGAAATGGTGGGGAAAAATAGAGAGGTGGCCAGTCTTCAGGCTTAATTAACCACTGGTGTAAACAGATGTCGCTGCAATCAAGCCAAAAGACTTCGGCCACCCACTAGTCTTGAGCACAAACTCAACATGAGCCTGAAAATCTTAACAACATGGGGCTGTCAAACATGCAAGCCACACACGCTTCAATACAAAGGTCGTCACCACCTCCCTTACGTTGATGCGACTACCTGCTCCTGGTTCACCAGGGGAGAGCAGGTACTGATCCGGCTTACCGCGTGTGCTGGACATACTACAGCCCTTTTCTGAAGCGAAGCTACTCCAACAGAGCTCTACGTGAAGCCATACACTTCTGGAGCACAGATGCCCCCCTGCACTCTTCTTAAACACACTTGAAACCTGGAAGAGGCCTGGCTGCATAGGCAAGAT